GCTGGCAGAAGTGAATTATGCAAGAGGACCATAGCGGAAACACCTGGGCAAGGATGGAAAAGGTTCAGAGAGAGATGGCAAAGAAAGTTTCATAGAGTTGGAGTGCTGAAGGCTGGGGGTCCGTGGAAAGCCCTCTGCGTTGCTTCACTCATTCTTTATCACCTCTTTCTGGGAAGAGGGGAGCATAAACAGAGGAATAATTCATAGAATCATAGAATTGTCTAGGTTGGAAAAGACCTTTAAGATCATCACGTCCAACCGTTAAATTCAAGGGTGTTCCAGCGTGTCGTGGAAAGAAGTTCATGGATGAGTCCTCAGTGGGCTTGGGGTATCCTTGGGGTCACCGCTGGAACAGCTGGTGGAGACTGTGCATGAAATGGGTGACTATGAACAGTGCTTCTGCTACCCTGCATTTAGCAGAGAGCTGGGTGTCCCCGGCATCCTCAGGACCAGGGAGACGAGAGATACCTTTCCCTGTTCCTTGAGCAGCATGGTTTCTCTGCTTGCTGGGGAGATGTGTATTAACAGGCAGATGCCGAGCCCAGAAGAGTAAGTGTGTTACGTTTCTGCCTGAAGTGGTGAGCTTTCGGTTTTGGGGCTTTGTGGTAGAGGAATTTGAGAGCCTGGCACACTGAGGTTAAAACGGCATCAATGGGGCTGAGCTGGTGAGGGTGACATCAATAGAAGGAAAACCCAAAGTACTGCTTGGGATTTTAGAGGCAAAGAAAAGCAACCTAACTTGTTACCACTGTAGAGGGCAGCCACATGGAGGTGGTGGGATATCTATAGGCCAGTAAGGAGAAATGAGCAATCCAGAGAGATGTGGTGGGGGAACGGGGGAGCCTGTGAAGAAGAGGCAGCTGAAGCAAAGTGTGCTCAGAGAAGAGCAAAACCTTAGCCTAACTGCTGAATCTGATCCGAGTTTCCCCCTTGAGAGTTTGGAGCATAGCCTCCAAGATGACCTGTATCTTCCACAGGTACTGGAGAGAACTGGCTATGTATTTCCCAGGTGTGTCCAGTACCTTGTAGGACCACATCCCAGAAAGGCTAGGCTGGGTTGAACTGGGTAAGCTGGAATGGAGCAAGCTCTCCCAGGGTATGCGCCGAAGTGTGAAGGAGCCTTTCCTGAGTCCTGCCACAGACCTTCATCAGATGGACATTCAGGAAAAAATACCCTTGCACTCCCCACCCAGCTCTTCACCTCTTTTCAGATCAATCAACTAGTCATCTCTGCTCCAGCAACTTGAAAACCTTCAGCTTTGCTTCAGAAGAATTTATGAATTCCCCTTGCAGTCCGAGTGCGTTCACCAGGAGTGGGGAATTCCTTTAGATCTCTGCTGAAGAATGCTTTTAAGTCAGGAGACTGCTTGTATCTACAAAGCAAAGTTGCTTGTTCACCGACCAACTCTCTGCTGGAAGCACCGTCTCCCTCAGAAGATTCATTGTTGTTCCCTGTTCCCTCTTGCCTGTCCGTAAACTGCCCCATGGCTAGGTAAATATTTTTATTATATCCTATGCCAAGCTTCTTTCCCCCTGCCACAGTAGGAGGCGCACATCATCTCCCTTTGACTGCGAATGAACACCCATGTCTGGAAGGAAGCTGGCCTTGCTCCAGATCTCAACCTTGCACATCCTGGCACAATGTTTTCCAACATCAAGCTGTAGCAAGAAAACAAACTTCAGTTTGCTCCTCCAGTGTTAATATCACCACCCCACAACTGATGCAGCAAGCTCTTACAGCTGTTCTTTCACAGTCAGCTGGTAGGGTGGTAGGATAAATGGAGAAGCATTACCCAGCTTGGTGCTTAAATGGGATGGACGTGGTAACCAGGGTGGCTTCTGAGCTTCCTGGTGCAGGCACTTTGCCAAGGGGAAGGTTGAATAGGCTGGACATGTCCTCCTCTGCCAAGAGCAATGCTGGTGCCCCAGGTCATGGACTCTTGCAGTTGTGGCCAGTTACTTCACAGGCAGCCCAGCTCAGCCTGCTCTAAGAGCAGGATTTGGCTTAAAAAGCCATTTTTTTCCCTTTGCCATCCAATTGCAGAAAAACGTGTCCGTTTTCTGTCTCCTCTTTGCTGCCTCTTTCTGCCTGGTTTATTGGGAAAGCCAGCAGAGGCTGTGCAGGGAGCAGATCCAGGGCCACAGCCCTGTGAGCTTGGCTGCGCGCAGGGTGGTGTGGGAAGCGAGCTGGCTCTGCTGTGATGGCTCACCGCTCCCCTCCCTGCGTCTCCAGGAGAAAACTTGCTGCTGCTCGTTAGCAGTGACTAAATGAGCACATGCTTCAGCTTTCTAGCCGAGCAGACTTTTTGGTCTTTCAAGTGGCATGCGTTGTAAGTATTTAATGTTATTGACAGAAGCCAAAGGTCTCCAACCTCTTCTCTGCCAAATTAGAGCAGTGTCCTGTGTTGAAGCTCTGAAGCTCTGCAGTGCATCGAGCCACTGTCTGCTTGATGGCCCTGCTTTCTTTGATGCACCGATCCTAAGGTCTCTTTTCTCTTTGTCCCATCTCTGTTCCATGTCTTAGGTTTTTTAAGCATCTCTCATGTGAACGTATCGCATCTTGAGGTTAGTTTACACCAGGTTTTTCATGGGCTTGCAGGCAGTCAGTGGCAAGATGGCTTTACAATGGGCTTGTGTCTGCACACCACAGGGTTCGTGCCCCGTTGGTGACCCAGGGAGCTGGCAGGACCTCGCCTGTGTAGGCAGGCTCCTGTGGGGTTGCCTGCGTGCGTGACCCGTTCATCGTGCCAGTTGGAGTTATGAGCAGGGATCCCCTTCTCTCACTTGGATGGCTGGGGTTGGCCTGTTATTCCCTGGTCTCAGTGCACCTGGACATCCTGGTACACGGTGCCATGGCTTGGACCAGTGAGTGAGACCTCTGGCTCCTAACGATGTGCTGGGAGGTCAGTACCCAGACTTTCCATCGGTGCATTACCATGGGCACCCCTGGAAGGAGGAGGTGCGTTGCCTTTATTGACGTATATATGTGTTTTTACAAAGCTATTGCCCAGGTACAGCAGTGACTGGGACTGGTGAGTTCATGGACCCACTAAAACCACAGCGGCATAGACAGGGCCTGTGTGCCCTGGCAGATTCGAGAGGGAGCTGCCAGTAGCTGTCTGCTTTAGCGCAGTTACTCTGCTTTTATTCACTGCAGGTAAAGGTGAGCATTGCTCTTCCAATTATGCCTTTCTTCTCCAGAAGCTTCCCTCCGCTCTGAACTGCCGAATTATCCCCATCCTCCATTGTATTTACTGACTTCTTAGCATCTGCCGGATCCAACTGGGAGCTGCCCTGCTGGTAATCAGCATCCCCCCGGACGCGCTCCTCCCTGGCTGACTCAGTCGGCCGCGGCGCTTCAGCACAGCCCTTCCGAGCAGAGAAGCAATTGCTCTTTCTGCCCTCTCTGTCTAGAGCTCTCCCCCCCAGCCCTCCCAGTGGCTGAGTCACTTCCTTCTTTAAATCTGGCCTTAAATCTTCCTTTTCTCTTCGCCCTGTGATTCACTCCCTTTGTGAAGCGCTTTGTTGCAGAGCTGCGGCTGGAAGATGCTGAACAGAGAGATGCTCTCAGTGCAGGACAGCTTCTGTGTCTCAGAGCCACAGCGGTGAGCCCCTCTCCGAGGGCTGTTCCCTGTGCCGTGCTAAATGGTGTCTCTTAGTATCAGTATTTCTCTTATCTTAGCGTTTCTTTCAATGCTACGTCTGACGTAGTAACAGGAGCCAACTCCTGCCTGCAGGCGAGCGCGCGTAATTTCCTTTGACATCAGCCTGTGCCTGTGAGGGCACGGCTCTACCCTTTCCCACCCCATTTGATTAGATGCAGTAAGGGAGTCATTACAGTATCTCTGCCACTCCTCCTTCTCCCTCATGGGATTTAAGGAGCGCTGCTGTTAGAACTGAGCTGAAATGCACTCGGAGAAAGGAAAGCTTCAGTTGCTGCTCTGTAAGCCTGGAGATATTTTTAGTATAACATCTACACTCCTCAAATTTTTATATTAAGGTTATTTTTCTCCCTTACGTTTTTATTTCCTTGGCTTTGGACACTCTCATATCTAAGTGCCTCGCCTTTTCACAGTTTTCTGGTGTGGAAGGGAGTCGCCAACCAACAGGGTAGTTAAAAGGCATCGTCGTGAATTAGCCGCGTGGCACCACTGATCTTGGCTAGACCTGCTCCAGTTACCAGCAAAGAGTGGGATAGAATGTACCAAAGCTTTTAAATCCTGCTTTTGGCTGTGACTTAGGTCGTTAAGCACTAAATCCATTTCACTATCCTTGCGGTTTAGGTGTACAAATACTTAGGTTGCTTAGGAAAGCGTCCTGCGGGTGCCTTGCCCCGGGAGTCTGGGCAGAAACAGGTAAGGCCAGGGACCAGACCTGGTTCTGTGAAGGTCTGGTGGCTCCCTCAGGACAGAGGTGCCCAGGCCAGTGCCAGTGATGTAAGGGCACATTAATGAAACATTTGGGATGGAATGAGGAGATTTGGGAACAGGCTGTGCTGCTTCTGTCACTCTGCAAGGGGGAGGGTCTGCTTGTGAGGCTGCTGTGCTTAGGAAACGCACGCAGGCTTTGCAGCTGGATCTGTTTGGTAGCTCTGAGTTCCTAAACCACGACCAATGACTGTTTCCTAAAGAGCAACAAAAAGTCATTTTCCAGTACAGTAAATTTGCAAAAGAAATGAAATCACTACTGTAAAGGAGCTTTGTTTCTATGGAGGGGACAGGGGCTATGGAGTTTGTTGAGGAAAGAAGACCTCTGGTCTAAGGAGAGGACTTTCATTTTAACTGATTGCTACAGGGGACAGAGCAATGAAGTAAATGAGTGTTGCAGTTTCTAGCAAATACTGATAATACTAAGCTCTGATTTTTTAATAAAGCTTCAGCAATCACATTCTTCAGCTTCAAAACAGGCAACTCTTGAGAACAACGTAACATCTCCTTTGCATACTCATCTCCCCTTGCATACTAAGCTTACATTGCATATATTTGTTTTCTTTTGCTTAGAATGAAGTGATCAGCCAGCAGCTCTCTGTCATCTTCACTCATTGCTACGGACCCTACCCTATTCCAAAGCTCGTTGAAATTAAGCGCAAGCAGACCTCTCGCCTAGGTAAGTGTGAATTGAAGATACTTGTTGGTCTTTCAAGGAGAGCTGTGGGAAGTCCGCGTCGCTGGCTGGGTGCCTGGGGGGGCACGAGTCAGAGAAAAATCTGAATTTGAAAAACTAGAAAGAGGAAAAGCCCCAACCTTAGCCTGACCCAAATCACCTGCTGAAATCAGGAGGGTCATCAGGTGCATAAATCTGCAAAGATTTGCCTGTGTTGCTAATTTGGCTGGGATCCAAGCCTGGGGCCCGGAGCCAAACATCCTTCCGCATCTCAAACCGCTGTGGCTGGCTGTGGGTGATGCCGTGGCAGCACAGCCCTCCCAGCCCTGCTGACGGAGCCCGGGTTGTTTTAATGTGACTGAGAGAAGACCCCAGCGATTTTCCAGGACCTTCTTCCCCGTGGCACGAAGACTTCCCCACACAGGGAGAAGGGCGTAACGGGGTGTAAATGAGCGCAGGGCCCTCTCTGCTCAGCTGCAGTTTGCTTTGCGGAGCAGAGCTGGGAGGCCGTGCCAGCTCCGCACGGCAGGGAGGGCTGGCTGTCGTCTCAGCAAAAGGTCCTCGCGGACTTCAAAGCTTTGAATTCCCTTCATCTGAACAACACGTGGCTGTCTGGGAGGCTTGTCTCAGGCTGTCCAAAATAGCTTTATGAGCTTTACTCATTAAAAGCAATATCCTTTTACGCTATTCTCTTCCTTTATCAAAACAGGAAAATATTCTGTGCGTTCATGACCTCTCCCAAACTGAAGTTATTGGCTTTTTTTTTCTTCTTTTTGTGATTCTAGATCCCCATTTTCTTAACAACAAAGAGATGTCAGATGTTACATTTCTGGTGGAAGGAAGACCATTTTATGCACATAGAGTGTTGCTATTTACTGCATCGCCAAGGTAAAATATAGACACATTTCTGCTTTTTAACAAAAATAGAATTTAATTTTCTGGTCTTGCTTCCCTTTCCGCTCATCTCCCCTCCACCCACCCCACACTCTCTATTGAGATTCTTTGAGGGCTAATGGCCCAATCTTAGTTTTTCCTAAGCAGAACATCTCAACAGCTTGTTTCTGGTTGATCTGCAGGACATTTAACAAGCGCTCCCAGCACTAGATTCCCACCCAGTAAATGATCCATACTTCTGGCCATGCATCTCGCTTCATTCCACTGAGGCACATTTGCATGGAGTTCATTTCTGTATCCAGCTCTTAATCATAGAGGAGTCTTAATATTTTGATTCTTAAATAATCATGTATCCTGTGAGTGGCTAAATCCTGCCTCGCGTCAGCGTAGGCAGTTTCCAGTAAAAACAAGCTACTGTCACACAGTTCATTGACAGCATTTGACATTTTTAAAATAAAATTAAGTAACTATGAAACATACCCTCTTGTATCCAAAGGCAGCACTTGTAGTCTGTTCCCTGTGCTCAGAAGGTTGGACGTGGGTTACCCAGCTCAAACCAACCTTAAAGTTGCTCACAAACCTTATTTGTACGCAGCTTTATAATTAAAGGTGTGCTTTTAAACAAATTTAGCTGACCCTCCATAAGGGCTTATTTCAAGATGTGGCAAGGACAAGCCACTGAGTTTGGGTAGTTTGGGCAACGTGGGAATCGATGCCAGACGTGCTGCCAGCCCACAGCACGGAGTAAAGAGAAGTGCATAAAGCAACTGCAGTGCCTGACCCTGCCTTCAATTAAGGAAGGAGTGCTTTGGTTTAGAGCATATTGGTAGAGGTACCAACACGTTCCAAGGTCCAGCTTTAAACCTACGAAATTGTTTTCGTAGTAGAGTTTGACACCAGTAAAAGCAAATCAATCGTTATCCATATTTTAATTAGCAAGATGCAATTGTAATATGGAAAAGGTTACCATCCAGCAAATGCTGGTCTTGATAGATAAGCCAAGCTTTGCACTACCGCTAGAAGGTCAGATGAATTACCGAAAAGAAGTACAAGGGCAGATGTTTCTGACAGCACATTTCCCATTTTCACCTTCTGATCAAATGGGAATATCTAGTTTTGAGAAATAGAATCATAGAATCATAGAATGTTTAGGGTTGGAAGGGACCACTAGTGGTCATCTAGACCAACCCCCCTGCAGTAAGCAGGGACACTGCTAACTAGATCAGGTTGCTCAGAGCCCCATCCAACCTGGCCTTGAATGTTTCCAGGGATGGGGCCTCCACTACCTCTCTGGGCAACCTGTTCCAGTGTTTTACCACCCTCATTGTAAAAAATTTCTTCCTTACCTCTAGCCTGAACCTACCCTGTTCTAGTTTAAAACCATTTCCCCTTGTCCTAACACAGCTGGCCCTATGAAAAAGACGTTCCCCATCTTTCCTATAGGCCCCCTTTAGGTACTGGAAGGCCGCAATCAGGTCTCCCCGTAGCCTCCTTTTCTCCAGGCTGAACAAGCCCAACTCTCTCAGCCTGTCCTCATAGGAGAGGTGCTCCAGCCCTCGGATCATTTTTGTAGCCCTCCTCTGGACCCGTTCCAACAGTTCCATGTCCTTCTTGTGCTGAGGGCTCCAGAGCTGGACGCAGTACTCCAGGTGAGGTCTCACCAGAGCTGAGTAGAGGGGCAGAATCACCTCCCTCGACCTGCTAGCCACACTCCTCCTGATGCAGCCCAGAGTACGGTTGGCCTTCTGGGCTGCCAGCGCACATTGCCGGCTCATGTCTAGCTTTTCATCCACCAGCACCCCCAAGTCCCTCTCGGCAGGGCTGCTCTCGATCCTTTCTTCCCCCAGCTTGTATTGATACTGGGGGTTGCTACATATGTATATGGCTCACATAAATCTGCAATTATTAACTGGAAATGTTTTTTTTTCCTGAAACTTGTGTCTGAAATTCAGGTTTTGATTATCAGAGAACGGCAACCTATCCAATTTTCTCTCCTGCCTCTTTTTACACAGATGTATTGAGCCTGCATAGAAGCATTAAAAGTCTTAGTGTACTTGCTTTACTGTTGTGTTGGAAAGCAGTTTTTTTAAAGCAGCATAATGGACATAGGCCAAAATTTATCTCCTTCAAAAAAGAAGGTGTGCAGTTTTTAAATGTTGCAGGTCTTCCTAAAGGATCATGTTGCCTCCAAGAAAAAAAAAATAAAAATTTTGGTTTTATGATAGGCATCATTACAGTATCTGAATTTTCTTATATACATTTTATTCTGTTGTGATATTAGATGTATTTTTCCAAAATTTCAAATTGAAATCTCCTAAAAGAGAGGCTTCTTCCTTTTGGTTTGAACTTTATTTTATGTCAGTGTCTGAATCTTGATGCTCTTCGATGACAAATGCATTCATTTCAGTGTACTGTTTTTGCAAGAGCTGATGCTGTCCTTCCACTTCGCTGTACTTTTTCACAGAGATAATTGGGCTGCTATTTCAATCTTGCTCCTTTTTATTTAGGTTTAAAGCACTGCTGTCTAGCAAGCCCTCATCTGATAGTACTTGCATTGAGATCAACTATGTGAAGTACCCCATCTTTCAGGTAAAGTCAGTTCTTGCACGGCATTTGAATGGAACATGTAATAGGAACGCCGTACATGCCCTGTCCAAATTGGTACATAGTTGATAAACACGTAGCTCAGAGTAGTGGTTTCACAAACACAGGCTTCATCTCCCTTTCTACACTGAGCTGCAGAGCACTATTGATTGCAAATGTCGTGCCCGACCAGACACAATAGCATGCATTTCACTTACAAGGCGTATGCGGACAAAGCGGCGCACATCAAGGTAAAGCACTTGATTCTTTCTTCTCTTGTTGGCTCTTCCTGTATTTAATGGACAGGCTTGGAAGAGACACAGTTCATTCCCTACCTCAGCAGTATTGTTTGATGAATTTTTTGCCCTGAAAATACAGAGCTCGCTTTCTGTATATGTAGCGTATACATGCGTATGCTTCCCTTTATTGGAGTCAGAGCTCAGACAGTTCCATGTATCAACTGTTACTGCTGCAGATAATTCCCAGCTGCCTACAGTAACTCTAGGCTTGCTGGAAGCTCACTGCAGAGGGATCCTAGCTGGCTCGCATTACAGCGCAAAGCCTCCCCCAAGCCACCGCAAAGCCTCCCCCCCTCTTTCCTCATCATCCATGCATGCCCACACACAGCTGGGTGAAGGTGGGGGTGCCATAGCCAGGGAGGGAACAAGGGAATAACCCTTATATATGCTATATTTTCCTGAACCAATGATGGACTTAGCGTACTGGGAAATACATTGAAAATTCAGAATGAATTAATCAGCTTCCTGCAAACTGTTTGGAGCTTGCCAGAAAGTCTGGACAATGTGGCTGGTGAGGGTTGAGGCATTAGACTACCTGTGAGAAGGAATTATTGAACTGTGCAGAGAGAGAGAGAAAAACCAAATATATCTTGAAATCAGGAGGTTCGGGCCAGTTTTATCTACAAATCCCTGGTGGTGTTGGAGAGCCTCAGGTATTGCCTGCAATCTTTACATCACCCCCTGTTCCCTGATGTCTTGGATCACTTTTTATAAACACTCCCTTTGTTTTATTGCAGCTGGTTATGCAGTATCTTTATTATGGAGGTGCAGAGTCACTCCTGATTAAAAATAATGAAATTATGGAGGTAAGAGACATTTATCTTAATTGCAGTGGGAGCAATGCTAAGCAATCTGTGTACCATTCACCCAAGGGCATGTGGCCATTGGGCAAGACATGAGCACTCCTGTAAGAGCCAGCAGTGCCTCCCACGGAGTGCCCAGGCTGTCCGCAGTCCTGCGAGAGACACTCAGCCTCCTTCTCTGCTGGTCACCCATTACGGTAACTTTTGCCAGTATGAAGCTGACTGTCAGAGAAGAAAGAGTAGAAAAATTATGATCATCAAGCAAAAAAAAGTATCAGAAGTAAAAATACCTGGTTAGACGCTTTGAGAGGCTTTTTCAAAGAAATGCAAACCTGGTATTACCAAAATCTGGGAGCAACTTTTGGTTTATTACCTCAGGATTACGTGTCCAGACCTCAGGATTACGTGTCAGCAGTGCAAAAGAGTGCAGTTTGGTTCCTCACTTGGGAGAATTCTTGGGCGTGTATCTGCCTTTAACCATGGGAGAAATCCCACTGGAGTCACACTTCAGTTCAATTTCAAGCACATGTCTGTCACATTTTCTGAATAAAACCTTAAGCTGCTCCCTGACATACAGAGACTTCTTTTGCCCCTTTCTCACTGGATGTAAAACATCCAGTGCCGTTGTGCCCATTTGCGAAAGCCAAACCAAGCCAACTGGAGTTGACTGAGCCTTCAGGGTAGCCACATGTCCACAACCTTGCATGGATGTTAAGTCATCCTCTTCCAAATACTCTGTGCTGTCACTGCCAGCTATGATCAGCCTAATGACTCCAACTATATAGAACTTTGAGAAATTTGAGCAAATTCTTGATAGTTATTCAGGGACTTTTCCTGTTGACAGTCACCAAATTATGGCAGCCAAAAAGAATACAGGACAGTAAATACTAAAACCAGAGCTACTTAAACAGCTGATAAGCATCAGTGTACAGATTGTGGTCTGCCACCATGATGTGTTATCGTTGCCTACATTAGTTAGGCTATCCCTATGACACTGCTGTCTGGGGCTTGACTTATACCAAAGTACTGCTAACCATAAGCTGGGAGTGACTCTTCTTTGGGGTACAAGTAGCCAGGGTGAATAAATTCTGATGGGTACAGGGATGCCTGTACCAACCCTGCTGGCAGCCAGAGGATGGTACTAGTCTGGACTGAAATCATCCCTCTCCCATGCAGCGGTGGATTTTTAACTAAGCATACCCACATCGACTTTCTGGGCTTTATAGGAAAAGGTCACTGGTTCTCTGTTTCACTCGCAGTTTTGAAAGAAGCTCCTGAATTTCTAGCCCTTGTAAGACCCCTAAATAAGGGGTCTCAGACGAGGCAGTGCCACGGCTTTATAGGACTGCGTGTGTTATCACCTAGGCTGTTAAAGAGCTCATGCTGCAGTTCAGCTGGCTGCTTGCTCTACTTCTGTGACATCTCAAAACTTTTGTGACTCAGGAATGTATGACTGATTGATTGATCTGTTGATAACAGATCTGGCTACGGTTCCTCACAGTTTAAAGTAATTACAAACCAGCACGTGACTGCTTGGGCCACAGAGGCAGCTGGAATAGGATTTGGCTTTATCTTTCAAAACTGCATTTAGCAACTTGCTTTATTACAAATACGATAACAAGAAGCACCAGAAATACTCCACAGAAATCTTTGCTGCAATTTATAATTGAGGCCAGCTGGCTGCTATCACATCAGCACTGCAGATTTCCAGCACTTGGATTTATTTATGGGATTAAAGCGGAGCTTGAGCAGACTGCATAGGAGAAGTCAGAATAATGTCATGGAAGTTTCAGGGTTTTGTTCCCTTGTACTCCTACCTAGCGGCATGAGAGCCCTTTTGGGACTCCCAGGTTAGCTGTTTGTCATGCAGTCCCAGATAAGGGCCGTGTAAATGCCTGAACACCTGAACTTCTTGGCCGAAGAGACCTGGCTGGGTTAGAGCAAAGTGTCAAGCAGTGAAAAACCCCAACGTGCTTCCTAAGCCAGAGCAGGGAGCCAGAAGCGATTACCTACCATGGAAAGACAGAAAATGAAATTCCTTTTCCCAGCTGTAAAAGGAGAGAAAAGGCGCAATAGGGGAAATCAGCACTACTGAAATCAGTTGGAGAACTCAAAATTTAAGCCGTTTTAACCCCACAGGCTTCAGATCATGCCCACAGCGTACAATGGCATGCAGAGATGCCCAGGGCAGTGGCAGTCCAGGTAGCATGTCCGTGGGGTGGATACAGCACCAACAGGGAGGTCAGCTTGAGTCCTGATGGCAGGAGAGCTGTGGCGGTGCGGCGATACAGACACGTGGCACTAACACGAGTGTTAACGGGGCAGTGCCCCACACCCAGCTGGTGCCCACCTTTGCACCGTGTCTCGCTGAGCACCAGCTCTCTGGAGCCAGACAGTGTTCCATTGCCCCTGGCCTAGGCGTGACCTTACCGCTGCTCACGAGCTAGAGCAAGGAGCATGTGGAGATCTAACGCCATTCCCTTGAGCTTGCTGAGGTGACAGATTTGAAGTTTATTGCCTCTCGAGACTTTAAGACTGCCCAGAGTGGTTATCATCGTCGGGTTGGAATCCCTCTGTACTCTTGGTCCTGGCCCTTCTGCTGACATCCCCACACCCAGCCCAGGTGCTCTGTTTCAACCAGAGCTCAGGAAACGGTTGAACCAGAACCTTTTTTTCCTGGAAGGTAATTGCAGATCCCTCCTTGTAGAGTCACATTTGCAAAGTGACCAAAGACTCTCCAAGGGACCTGAGCAGCCTGTGGTGGTCCCTCCATGTACAACTTCTCACGGTGTGATCTGAGGGGACTGCAAAGGGTTGAAGCAACCAGGCAGCCTTCTCATTCTGACTGTTCGTCAGTACTTCCATGAAAACTGAAGCGGGGGCAGAGAAAAAAAAACCATAATGAAACAGTAAAGAACCAAGCTCTGATTCTGTGTCGCTCAGCAGTTTTGACTATTTTTTTCCTTGCTTTTTTTTTTTAGCTTCTCTCTGCTGCTAAATTTTTCCAGCTTGAAGCTTTACAACGACACTGTGAGATCATTTGCGCAAAAAGCATTAATACAGAAAACTGCGTGGATATTTATAATCATGCCAAGGTAAAAATAACCACATATGCTTGCATGTTATGTGTCTGTCATCATACTCATAGGTCAGTTTTGTGATAAGTAGTGATTGTTACTTATTTAAGATGTGTTATTTACTGGGACTGAGTGTCTAATAGGTACCTAGCATAGTGATGGTCCTAAATCATGTAGCGTAAGAGCATCTGTGGCAAGTGCTCATCCCCTTCTCTAAATGCTTCAAACTCAATTTCAGTGTACCACTGTGTGGCAGACCTATCCCTTATCATGGCAACCCAAACTGCTGAGTTACTCAACAGGAATCACCTAGCTGAATAAGAGGCCTCTCTTTCACCTTCCAAGCTGCATTTTCCCTTTACAGTCTCCTGTTTCCTCCTGCCTGAAGCCCACTGGGGTGATACACTCAGTGCTAGTGACAGCTTGTCAATATATAAAAATGCCGTGTTGTCAAAGTGCAACATCTCCGAGCCGTGCAAGGTTGGTAATGAGAATTTTATGTCTTGGAGAGGTGAGATTTGCAGCTTCTTATTGGAATCAAATTATTTACTTAGCTTGTGAGGGGGCCTAAGTCACTAAGCATAAAAGCATGGCATTTTTTGACCTAGAAAACCTATTTTTGCTCATTGATGGAGGTCAATCCACATTGATTAGTTTCAGTTTTTCTCTTCCGCTTGTGTGCTTAGTAGCTAGACTTTCACTTGGAAGATGGAAATGATACATAAATAGTTGCAATGAAATATTTCTAAAGCATTCCTTAGATGATTTTTTTATATAACTGACATGGTCTATACGAAAGATAAAATGGTGCAGCGTGACAGGGAGGTTTGATTGAACAGAGTAATCCTGCAGATTGCTCCAGACCCCTGCAGATCTGACCTCTGTTCCCATCATTGGATATTTCTTACAGAGAGTAGTGATGTTAGGTCTTGATGTACAGATAACATGCAATCAGTGTTTGAAATACAAAGTTCCACCTATGAAATGAATAAGAAATGAGGTATATCTGCAGATCTATTTGTTGTAATAGAAAAAAAAAATCAGCAGTGCAGGAATCTTTTGAAAAATATTTGATTTATCTTATAGCTCATGTGGGAACTTCTCGATTTGTATTACTGTTACTAAAAGTAAAATGAATAATTTTGTTTTAAAATCACATGCTTTCTTTGAATTGTGAAACGTGGTTGTTGTTTACATCCTGATTGAAGAACGTTCTTATACCAAGCTTTAGACCTGTCTGAGGAAGTTGTATGCTGCTGATGCTGGGACTGAACAAACCCAGTGGCTAAATCCAGCTCCTTGTTTGCCTGCAAGGGCCTCAGCCTGCAAGTTTTTGGTGCCTGCATTTCCCAGTGAGTCAATGGAAACAGCGCACTCGAGAGGCCGGGGTCACGTTTGCGCTGACGTGGGTAGGGCATTGCAGGGATAGCCAAGGTAGCTGTGAGTGTAATCCTGACTTCTGGAATTAGTTAAGCTACATCACACTAGAGCTCTGCATGGGCTAATTTACCCCGCTTCCAGTAAGTTACCCAGGCTAAGTTTCATATTGCTATAGCTAGAAGGTTTCCAGGACCTGAACTAGCACATTTCAAGCTAGTTCAGATACCTCTCGATGACGCCGTCTGCAGAGCAGAGAGGACGCTCCATCTTTTTGCTTCCGGACTGTGTGATGTGCAGGTGATTAATCTGAGCACAGATCGTTCTGCCCAGAGTGCTCCCGTCACACAGCAGCCTCATTTGTTTCTTATGTGAGCACAAGGTAATGGTATGTGGCAGAAGAGGCCAGATGGTCCTGATGAGCCATGGGAGCTCACCAGCAGTTTCAGTGCAGCTTGCCAGCCAACCGTCCGCCTTTCCATGTTGCTCTCTGAAGTGTGGAAGAAGCTTGTGTTAGACAGCAGTGAGGATGGGAATAAGATGATCAGGCACTGAAGCCAGGAACCACCGCCTCCACCAGGAGCAGGTTTTGAGTAACTCGCTCCTGTTGTAGGTACCACTTCTAGTCCTTGTTACTTTGCAGGCTCAGCTGCACCTGCAGGTACTCAGGCAATGCTGGGACCTGCTTTTCCAGATGGGAATGTGCAAACAGGCTGGCCCAGAGAAACACAGAGAGCAGTTTTTGTCATCATGATTGAGAGAAAGATATGATTTGGTGGAAGCATAGCATGAAGTGAGCACAGATTTGGAAAGCTACCTGTGGTGGGGGTGTAGGTTGTAAAACAGTGTTTAGCAGGGTGGTGAGCGATGTAGAAGGAGCTGTAGGAACAAGAGATTGAGAACCTGTGTTAAAGAGGTGAAGTACTGGTAGGAAGGTGGGGCAATGTGGATTTGGTCACATTTAGTAAAAGGAGAGTATTAAAATCATCTGTGGCATCCCTATGGGCTTTCCATTCTGAAAATTGCAACATCTACAAAGGCAGTCATTTGGTTAGTATCACTTTAAGGATATCACTTTTCAAAGCCTTTGTCACTGTTCTTTACTTCCAGAAAGAAATGAAGTAACTGGGCAAATTGGGTTAATAATGGTGATTGATTAGTTACCACTAATCATGTGTTTTACATGAATGCCTCCAAACTCTCAGCAAAATAATTTGGAGTTTCAACTACATGCCTAAACCACTCAGCACCTGCACAGATTGCAATCTGGGTTTCAGAACAAATCTGAAAAAGAAAAGTATATTATATTATTTCCTCAATGTCTTGAATATATTGAAATAATGAATAGGAATGAATGGTGTTTCAGAGAAGAATACAGATTTGCACATATGCTTTCACATCCAGGTGCAAAATAATGCACTCATAATTTAATGAAAACTTGCATGGTTTGAAATCAAGATAAATGAATTTGATTTCCTTGGGAAGACAGATCCTACCTAGCCCTAACTGGTTTTGGTTTTTTTTCCTAATATTTATTTATTTATTTAGCAATTTCCATTCTTAGTTCTGAACATGATGTTAAGGTGGTGGTGGGCAACTTTGCTGTGTAGTCGCCCCAGTCTGGACCCAAAGCTGTGCGATACCCCAGCAGTTCTGGCCCTTCAGGCTGCACCTTGCAGCCAAAGGTTCTTGCTTTAATCAGAGCTCAGACCCAGCAGGAGCTTACCTGGGCAGGAGGATGGGCTTGAGCACTGCTCTCTACGCTTGCATGGCTTATACCTATAGTGGAATATCATGGCCTCGCTCCTTGTATGACCACAGGATCTAGCCAGTGGGTGATGACCAGTACAGGTCACCCATCAAATGACCAGTACGGCTCATGTAAGGTTTGCTCATACGCTTTTCCTCACGCAGATAAGGTTCCTCCAAAGATGCCTTGCAGCATGAAACTTTGCATGACAGGTCATGCATCCCATCCTTGCTAAGGATGGTGTTCATTAAACTTGGTCTGCAGTAATTTGTCCCAAACCTATAGTTTTAGGGTGTAACTTCAAGCATGAAATCATGGGTCTAGTGAACTCTGTGGTAAAAACTCTCACTCATTTCCAAGGGAGTAAAACTTCAGCCCTGAAGTTTGTTTCCTTTACAGCCATGGCCTCATAACATGGAATTGTGACCAGAATTATCAGTGTAAAATCATAGAATCATAGAATCATAGAATGTTTAGGGTTGGAAGGGACCACTACTGTTTGATTAACTCCTTTCCCTCCCACATATATATCTGTAAGTGTTACTGTGCCTGTCTCAAAGGCTTAGTTGGTGTATGTTTTTGTGCAACTCTTATGCGCTGTATTTGTTGAGCAGATTTTATCAGAATGGTTATCTTTCTCTAATTTCACTTCTTGTAGTTTCTCGGAGTCACAGAACTATCTTCCTACTGTGAAGGCTACTTTCTAAAAAATATGATGGTCCTCATTGAAAACGAAGCTTTCAAACAGCTGTTGTATGACAAGAACGGAGAAACGTCTGGTCAAAATGTACTACAGGACTTACAGAGGACGTTGGCCACAAGGATTCAGTCAATTCATTTGTCTTCTTCAAAGGGCTCCATTGTATAAAGCTGAGGAAGACGGTAACCCTCTAATAAATATCCTGCAAGTTAAGTCTGCTGTTGCAGTTGCTTAAACCCGTTGCAGTTGCTTAAATGACTACAAAACCAAAATATTGGAAAATTTTACTTCGCGTCCAAATAGTTCTGTGTTGGCCAAAAGTGCTGCGCTGGGGCTGCGGCTCCGTTTGGATGAGGAAATACAGAAAACAAAGCTCCTCCATGTTTTTGAGCAAACGGGGTACAAGAGTATCCAGTGAATCACTGTTGTTGTACTCAAATTCTGAACACACACACACACACACACACACGCACACACACAGTCCTGGAGCTCGATGCCAACAAAAGCCAGAACTCACATCAGTGAACACCAGAAGCCCCTGCCTGAGCGGTGGTGCCGAGGAACACCCAAATTGACCGATTAATCATTTACGGTGGTTTTGTTCCAGTGTTACACATTTAAGAACTCTTATCTATCCTGGAGTCCATTATCTCGTGCATTTAAGAAATGTAAGAACTGTTATTGCTGTCGAGCAAAGATCAACTGTATTAGAGAGTGGGTAAGACTGTTACAGCGGAGGAAATATACTGGCAGATTTTTAGGGGTGGGAACTTTTTAAATTGTTCATAAAAAAATAATGGGGTGGCCTTGTAGTTTAAAAACTATTTCTTAAGCTTAAAATTTCTTTTTCGACAGAGCTGTGTTTGAGAATCTATGTAACATGTTTTGTTTTTTTAAATGGTAAAATGTACATTGTGTAAACATACATATGATCAAGTTTTGCTTGTATTCTTTCCTAGGGTGGTATAATCTTGCCTAACAGGCTATGGTTACACCAAAGAGGTACATTACCCAGACTATCTCTAATACAGTAGTTGGGGGGGCAGGAGAACTGCATGCTACTCGTGATTTGGGGTTAAAAACAATGACAAACTCAACACGCATTTGCATGGTAACTGTACCTGTGAAATGTTACGTTCGTGCTTTATTTCGCCAAAACAAATGCAATGTTACTTCTTGTCAAACTTTATTTGTGAAATTAGCATATTTTTTTTTATTTGGTGCGATTGGGTGTGATATGATACCCCCGGAGACCCTTCTCGAGATGCTGATTTCTGTTTGTTACAGTGAAGGGATAATAACAGATCTTTACTTCAGTGATGAGTCGATACTTTGCTACTGGCCAGAGATTGTGTCTGAGTTAGACTTTTTTAAATTATAATTAAATATGTACTATAGAATGATTTCTCACTGTATCCTGAGAATGTATAGGTTATCTACAATGCAGGGTTTGGGTGGGGTGGGATGGGTGGGGTGTGATTTAATGTCAAAGCTTCATTTATTTTGCAGCGTATTGTTAGCAAGACAAATCTGCTGCGTGCCACAACATTCCTGATGCTTTGTTTCTGAAAACCACAGCAAGAAGTAGGCAAAGATGTTGCCTTCTCCATGTCAAAGTGGCATTAATGTATTTATTTTCTAGCATGCCATTCAGAAACTGTGCCCAGTTCATAGACTTTAGAAGTTTTATTTTGACGGTGCATGTTATCCTCTTGTTCTTTTTTTGAAGTATCTATGTTGGGTGCTCCTCCATGTTGATAGCTTTTGGCACGCTCAGAGAACACAGTTTTGGCTTTAGTTATCAACACCATAGGAAGCTGTTTTTATGACTCTGAGGTGTAAATCCTCCTGCGTGCTTGGTCTTTTAAAGCCTCTACAGTTTCTGCAACAAATCACAAAAATGTCTAAACTGACACTAATGTCGCAGAGACACAGCAAGTCAGTCAATTAGACGTTTTTTGTTCTACAGAGTAGATGTTCACACAAGATGTTGGCTGGAACATTTAGGTAATGAGTGGCAACTTCTGTGTGAATGTTGCGATCTTGGAGAAGCGAGACCGTGGTTGATGCAACAGCAACATGCAGGGGTCCTTGTTGTTGTTTGGCGTGTCTCCTCATCCAAGGAAACCCATCCTTCCATGCCAATGATAACTAGATAGAAGATCTCATCCCGCAGCTTCATGGTTTGAAATAGCAAAGTTTTTCAGACAATAACCATGTTAGTAAACTTCTTCCCTTGGGTACCTGCGTGGTGCCCAAAAAAGTCATCGGGAGTTGCATACGCATATATCCATCGGCAAAATAGCTTTTTCTGTGAAACGTGCCCACAGGTGTATCTGTGGATAGGCAGTCTGGTGTCTAATGCTAGATAGATGATAGACATGAGTGTTGTGCCTCTGTTTCTAGCTCAAATGCTAACTGTGCTTTGGTGAGGGGATGTAGAGTTCTGTGCGCACAGGCTGCCCCTGGAAGGTGATGACTTTTGAGCGTTTGTAGGAACCTGCCTGGGACTCATAAAGAAGGAAACACTGATAACTCTGTGCTAGTCGTTCTTCCGGTGAGTTGAGAGTATCCGTGGTAACGTTTACTGGCTTTCTTTCAGAGATAAAGGGCTCAATGTGTCCTTAGGTGGCTGCACGTGAATGGTGCGGTCACCGAGTTTGGGCACTCAAAGGCAAACGCGAGCCAGAGGCACTGCGCAAGTCTGCCAGCAGAGCTGGGTTGGCCCGCACATCCCTGCATCCTGTTGCTTTTTCGGGGGCTCGTGAATCTGGATGAAATGTGAATCACGACAGAAGGCGTGGCGCCCACTGCTGCCGCCAGATCTGCTTTGCTGGTCTCTTGCGAGTGGTAGGAGAGAACAAGCCCCAAGAAGCTCTCGTTTAAAGCTGTTACAGGAAGGGATTGTGGCTGTTGATTTACAAGGGAATAACTTTTGCCCTTCAAAACACTGGTAATCCCAAAGTCACAGATGTATAGCTGACAGGAACCTTTAAAAAAAAGAAACATGACTTTCAATTCTTTCTCGACCTGTGACCCTTTTGCCAGCGGAAGAGCCAGCCCCACGTAACCCTGGCATTCATTGCTCCTGGAAGTAGTCGGCAGCCCTTTGTGGATCCACAGACCAGAGTTTGAAAACTGCGATTTTAGTCCACCTCCCCTGCCATGAGGCCGGGTGAGGTCTGGCCAAAGGATGCCAGGCAATGTGCAGCTTGGCAGGCTCTTGAAACGTCCACCGATGGGGATCCATGATCTTCACTATCCTTGTAATCAGAAGGTTTTCCTAAGTGGCTGTTTGGGATTTCTTGACTGCAAATTGAGACACTTCTCCTTCAAGCCCTGATTGACAGGAAGAACAGATGATCTTAGGAGATCTTCTTACAAGGTTATTCTGCGTATGAGAGGAATTACTTTATTTTCTTCACTGGTCTAAGTCTTTCCTAGTCCCTTTGCTGGTATTTTCTAGATCTCTGATTTTTGCAGTCATTCCCCAAAATGCAGTACTCCAGCAGGGGTTTTATACAGTAACAAGCAAAGCAGAGTACTTGTCTCCTGAGGTTGAAGTACAGCATATCAGAAAATATATCCTGGAATATTGTCTAGAACATCCCATGGCTGACTTTGGTCTAGTCTGTCTTCCATTATAATTCCTGGGTGATTCATTGCTGCTTTCCCAGGAATTCCCATTTTTATTTGCGCATTTGTTTACTACACCTTCCCAAGTGTAACACTTTCAACTTGTCTCTATTAAATGTGTTCTGCTTTAATTGGGACAATTTCCCCACTTCATCAAGATCAATTGCAATTCTGATCCTGTCCTCTAGCCTGTTTTGTAATCTCCGAGCTTTATTATACGTGGCGTCATGCATGGATTCTTCATTTCATTAATCTGGGGCGGGGGGGGTGGGGTGGGCAAAGGGCTCTGTTGTCACTTTAATCTAAAAAGCAGTGTGAGTTTCAGTGGGTGCCCATGAATACCATCCCTATCAGATAAGCCTCATATTCCAGCAGAGCATTTTATTAGCATTTTTTAGAGAGATGGTGTTATCATCTTACAAAGTAAAAAGCCTTCTGCTTCTTTAGTCTTTGTATGAGTCGCAACAGTTTACAAATTTTGAGGGAATCTAGGTGAAATGGAAAAAAATACAATATCCTTAGAAAAAACTTCTGATTTTTTTTTTTTCTAAATCGTAACTTTCCAGCCTGTAATGAGTGAAGGGCTGGTTTTGGCTCCTTTCCATCTTTCTTTTTTTATACTAATCCATTGCTGTAATATTTGAGGACTTAGAGGCATCTTGCCTCTGCCTCACTGCAGATCTTTCCTTCCGCCTCTCTACAAGGTTCTCCCTTAGTTTCCAGAATTTCCTCACGTTTCCACTTCGCCTCACACACTGCTGGTTCCCACACTTCCTTTTTTCTTTTTTTTATTCTAGAGCCTTGCTCTGGAGAATCTCTTTTTACTAGAGTAAAACGTAAAAATCCCTTTTTACTGGAGTAAAAAACACTGGAGTATTTTACTCTGGATCCCTTCCCAAGCCCAGACAGGGTACCTGTGTTCTCCTGAATGGGCGATTTTCCAATAATTGGCTTGAGAGCTGGGAAGAGAAAAGGATGGGGAATGTAGGAGGGCAAAGGTTTTGGACATCAGAGGGGAAGGCTGGTATTCTTTTCACGACAAATTTCAGCGCTGTCTACTTGTTTCTCAGATTTTCCCCTGATCTGTTCCTTACCCCTCCTGTCCTCTAAACACAGCTGGTGGCCAGATGCTCTCAGTTCTGGAAAAGGGCCAGCTTTGTAACTGCTAAGACTTTTTTCTTTTTTTTCCCCAGCTAAAACTTTTGCCTGCTTGGTCCCAGCTCCGGAGTAGCTTTGTGCAAATGTCTATTAAAGAGAGAGGAAATTTCTTTAAGGAGGTGTGAAGGCTTAGTAGCCAGGCTCCTGTTGGCACTAATGAGAGCTGCTCGCTGAATCCTCCACGTGCTGCTCCTCCTCCACGACACTGAGCCTCTTTGTGTTGACTAGCCACTGGCTACTGGCTTCATACCGAATGTTGCACAAGCCCTGGATGGGCTGCAGCACGTGGTGTGCTGGGGGCTTTCGGAAATTTGAGTTTTGTTTCAGAGCGTAGCATGATGTGCTGCTCTTTTGAAGACTAAAAGAAAAAGGGAAATTCTCAGTTTGTGCTGAAATAAACTGCTCTGAGGTGGCGTGGTGAGGAAAAAGAAAGGTGTCTCTTCTTCCCTCCCCAAAGCTGTCCAAAATCAGAAGAGGGTTCTGTTACAGCATGCAGCACAACGAGGTCTGTGCGACTCCAGTATACAGGATCCTGTTTAAATGGGTTTTTTAAATGTTCAAGAAAAAGACAAGTGCTGTTAAAGTTCACACATCCACATACTCAAGGCAAGGCTCAGGCCATCCTAGAGAAAAAGCCATTCCTAGTACTGTTGTCTGTGGGTTAAATCCTAGGAGAAGCTGAGAACCTGAAGAACTTGTCAAAGTCGGTTGCAGGTATTCAGTGTCCCTCGGGAGCTGGCTCCGTCTTGAAAACATTGCTGAAGGATGACATCCTAAAGCCTGCATTCACTAAAGCTGCCTCTGAAGTCAGTGGGTGATTTTTTTTTTTTTTGATGACTGAGAGTTATCTAAAGTCAAAGACTTGAAGTTAGTTTGTTCGACAAAGTGTCTTTCATGTGAGGCTCTGTAAGTGCTTTACAGAATCGAAGGGCCTGATGTTGCTTTCATCCCCTGGCCCAGAGATGTTGAAATATATAAGTATTAAAAAAGCTGCTTAGGAATTGTCCTGATGTTTCATAAACATAGCTTGCAGAAAGTTAGCCTTGAAATAGCACTCAAATAATGTCTGAAACCCCATAGACGAGCACGTCACTAATTTTAGATGTCTGCCTGTAAGCACATTTATATCTTGAACTCACAGGACTTCCAGTCACATCTTCCATGCATTTATAACAAAACTAATGTGTTGTTACTTTTTAACTCGTTATTTATTTTGAGGTAAGGCCCGTTATCTTCAGTGGGTGAAAACTGAGGCTGCCCACCCTGGCCAGATTA